CAATGCTCGGTTATGCGTCTTTGGGGTTCAGCCATGTGGAGTTTTCAATTTCATTTTCATGAGCTCTCAGTCGACTCCTTAGACTTTTGCCTCAAGCTTGAGTAACCTTAATTCCTCAGAGGCATATGAGCGTGTTTTGAGGAGGAATTTGATCTATATTTGCATGCTTTTCAAAGGCAAATAGTGTATTTTATTAACTTTAGCTTTATGTAAATTTAGGTTTAAATTGAAACTGAATATAGGGCTTAAAACTTTGGTATGCTTAATATATTAACTACAAAGGACATCTTAAAAGTTATTTAATAAAATATTATTGTATTTTTAAAGTAACCTTTTGTGTTTTTCTCTTTTTTACAATAGTGCATCTTTACCCACTACAACCATTAAATTTAATAGATTCAAGTAAAAGCTACATTTAAAGACCGTTTCCGTTTATGTCATTTATGGCAACAATTTACAGGAACAGGAAAATCCTCGAAGCAAATTCGGATGCTTGGAGTGGATGCTTGCAGATTTTCTACCAGAGGGCCTAAAGCTGCCTTCAACAATCTGTCAGGATAAAGTCATTGTCGTTGTCATTGTTGTTATCCTCATTGTTGTTATCCTGCTGCTACTGCTGCTGCTGTTGTTGTTGCAAGAGCCAAACAAATAGACTCGGGCGGCAAAAAAAAAGAAGAAAAAAAGAAAGCACACACAGAGAAAGAAAGCAAGCAAAAAAAGGCGCACAAATAAACAAACAAAGGAGAGCAAAGCAAACGTCGCTGGCGGCACGTCCGCGAGCAAGGATGCCAGGACTCTTGCCACACATATTCCTGCCCCCTTCCCCCTCCCCCCGTCGCCTGGCAGCCTGTGTGCGTAATGAGCTTACCTTATGGATAGACAAAACAAGTTGCCGCTGGCGTTTTCGCTGGTGTTGCTGCTGCTGCTCTCAGGCGCAGCCAATCCTGCAGCACGCGTCCTGCTGCACAATTGGCAGTGCTGATGGCGACTTCCTAGCCCGTTTCCTGTTGCTGCTTCAGCTTTTTGTTTTTTGAAGGTGTCTGTGTGTGTGGGTGTTTGTGTGTCTGTCTGTCTTGGCGCGGAAATCCGTCGCACGTTCGTCGTTTGTTTTTTCCCGTATTTCTTCTTTTTTACGTTTGGAATAAATTTACGGCCAGTAGCGCACTAAACGGAAACTAACACATAAAATGCTGTCTGATTTTACGAGCGTCTATGGGTGGTTCTACGAAAAATATACGATTTTTTAACGGCATTCGACACGTGGTTTAGGTTTTCAATGCATTTCGCGGATTGCTCATACGCAGCGTGGTACGGCTGAAAAGGCGCGCGCGTTTTTTTTTCGCTTTTCTGAAGCAACAGCAATTTGCAATTTGGACAAACGGGGAAAAATAACAAGCAGAGAGCAGCAGCAGCACTCTAGTAAATAATAACGTCAAATAATAATAATAATAACGCGCTGATATTATGAAATTTCAAGCGGTTCTCCGCTGTGTGGGCTGCCTGCTGCTGCTGCCCGCTGGCATTATTTATGGGTTGTCCAAACATTGTCTGGTGTGGCGGCCCGTCTTCGTCTATATATTAGCACATCTCAGAGGGAACTCAGTATATATAGCCATCATTGTTGCCACTCGCATTTGTTGCTGTTGTTTCTTTCATTCTGTTTAATTTTATACTATGCGCACTCACGCACCCACACCTCGAATTTTCGGGGATCTCGGGATCTTAGAACTCGTAGCGTACCGTACCGCACTAGTACCGCTTGTCTTTTAGCTGCTCGACGCTTCCTGCTCTTGATTCGCACTATTTCCTAGGCGCTGAGTGGCTGAAAATGCGATTCGATGGGCAAAGACGGGCGAATTGCGATTGCGGCGTTCAAGTTCATCACACAACGACTGACCAAGAGCAACTGAGCGCTCGTCTCCAAAGCGAAGAACTTTTATAACCTTCTGCCCCGCCGCTACCCGCCTCGCCCCTCGCTGCTCCACCGCCCCCAACCGACTGCGACGTCGGCAGCGACGCCGGCAGAACCGATGCTCGGATGCTGCCAGCTTGGACCATTCTTTGCCAGCCGACGACGCCGTTGGTTGCCTCGTGGTTGTGGTGTTGTTGCTTCTGCCGCTGCCTGCTGCACCTGATGCGCGTTCTCTTACAACGCTCTCTTAGGTGACTCTCTTTAGCTCGACTCTCGATTCGCGTGGCGCGCAAAACTGTTGCTGTTGTTATTTAATCGCCGGCACCAATTCACTCGGCATTACTGGCATACACTCTACCCAGAAGGGGAGTCCCCGGAATACCGATGGTTTTGGGTATACAATATGATAGAGCCCTCTTTAACTTAAGTAGACAAATATTTATTTTAAAGGTGAAAATACATCTGTCAACTTTAAATGTAGAACTAGCTCTACTTTGTTTTATTACGATCTCAAATTTATTTGATATAATCCATTTTAGAAATTTAAAATTCAATGAATACATTCCATTATAAACAATTACTGAATAAACTAACTATCTAATACTAAAAGGTATCTAAGAAGTCGGTAATAGATCACTAGCAATAAGTAGTAAGACCTAACAGTAATGTAAAGGAATAAGAACGAAGCTCAGCATTTTTATTAGTTGGTGACCCCAACCAACCAAGTTTGTAGAATAAACCCTTAAGAAAATAACCGTATAAACGCCGTTTATAAATTACTCTCAACAGAAATATTATATTCTTACCATAATAAAGGAATAGGAACGTAGAGTGACTATTTTCTAGGATCTGTGAATGGTGACCCCAATCTACGAAGTTTATAGTACAATTTTTTTAAAAAATCCCCGAATTAGTAAAGTAAGGGTGTGTCTAATTCGACATCAACAAAAGCCTAGTTGCTCTCCTCTTGCACTTCCGCCTGAGGTGTAATGATATAAATCAATTGATCAAATGGGTATAGCGCTATAGCTATCTCTGATGTGTGAACCTGAACTGCAATTCCACTGACATTAAACTTAAAACAACGGACAGTAGTGGTGGAGATCGGCAGAGGCAGTGGCAAATCGGCGGAGCGTGCCGAAAGATCGCTCGACCCTCGGCGATCAGCGGGTGTTTGGGCCTAATGTGTTCGTCTGTCGGCGGTCGCGAACAATTTGCCTGATAGATCACATCAAATATAATTCTGACAATTTGTTGACACTTCTGTATGCTGTTGGGCCTTTTGTTTTGTTTCTCGTATTTATTTTAGCTTGGTGGTTAGCTGACGATGATTGTTTAATGGCAATTTACTGTGGCTCGTCGGCTTGTTCATGGCGTTATGATTATATTATTGACACAGAGAGAGTTTCCAATCTCTCTGCTGCCTCGTTTTTCTCCCGAATAATTGTTGCCGGAATATTCGGCAAACTGAGTGTGCCGGTTTACGATTGATTTATGACTGCGGGGTTCGTGGGGTCTGCGCTTGTTTATTGTTATTTTGTCTCATTACGCGAAAATTTGTTATTTATTTGCTTAGAATAAAACGAATGAAGACAAAGTTGCGGAGGCCGATCCGCACTCGTCGAAGATAACAAACAAGACTCTTTGTTCGGTGGCTAAATTGTTGCTAATTGAGTGCCATAAATGGTGCTAATTGTGAAATCAAGCTTGAAGTCTAAATTACTATTAGCTGAAAAGATTAGGATATCTTCGGGCGGTATATCTTCATTGAGTACTTTAAGTCGCTATCAGCTTTGGTGTAAGAGAATCATTTTATAGTAAGTCAATACTTTGATTAAGTATATGATTCACTTTGCCCAACCCAATTAAATTCGACGTAAATTAGCTCATGAATCATGCATCCTGTTGATTTCGGAAACGCCCTCTTTTTGTAGGTAAATATTTTCAAATGCGGAAATGTTCTTTAAGAAAACATAATAAATTTCTCATCGCCTCGGACAGATTGTCAATTGGGAATTTTGAGTGATTGGGCTCGTTAAAATTAGAACTAGAAATTGGGCCATGTGAACAATTGAATATTATATCTTAAATGATGATCGATTGAGTATTAATTTATTAAGACTTAATATAATTTTTTACCGTACAATTTAAATTGGTAAGAATAGAAAAATATAATATTTGTTTTGACTTTAAAAATATTATAAAATTTTCTGTTGAAGGGCACATGTTTTAAAGAATATAAGACCGATAAAGAATGAACGCTACTGTTTGTAGAGGGTTCAAATTTTTATCAATTTGTGTACACAATTATATAACATTTCCTGTTCCCTCAATAACTTGATAACACATTTATTCACAGAATTCTTCTCCCTCTTTTCCCTTTCCGAATTTGCCACCCTTACAACCACTTTCATTCACAGCTGAAAAAGCAAAAAATGTCGCATGCAACATTTTCGCTTTGCCTGCGATAAAAATGACTCCCTAATCTCTTTAAAATGCTCATACAATAAACATTATTATTCCCTTGGCTGTTGTTTTTGTTTGATTTTATTGCCTTTGTAGCTGGGCAAATAAAATGCAAATTGCGCTGGTTTTATTTTAATTCACCAACGACAGAAATAATTAGCTATCGAGTGGGAAAACAAATGACACCGAGCTTTTATCAATGAACCGAAGGGAAAAAGGGGTGGGGTGTTTCGATTTCGTTATAAACGATATGTGGGAAAGGCAATAAGGGAGGGGCTCGACTTGGTTTAGCTGCCAATAGTATTAGTTTCGTTTTGGTTTGATTTGATTTATTCTAATATTCTAATTGGATTGGCGCTACACGATTTCCATAAATTAACTGGCATACAAATAATTCGCATTCTGAATCGAAAGGGGGGAATTCAAAGCAAAGTCCGCAGTAAAGCCCCTGGCACCCCTCCCAAAAAAAAAAAACTCTGGCCATATTGCAACCTGCAAGTGTCACTGATTTATGGCCAAGAACGCAAGTGTGTGTGTGGTGTGGTGTGCCAGTTAGCTTGTTTTGACCAAGTTAACTGGTTTAATGGCCCAATGGGGGGAAGTGGTGGGGTGGCATACTCACTGGTCCCGCTCCTGCTCCTCTGACTCCGCTCCTGCGGCGCCAGCAGCGGCAGCTCCAGTTCCATCGACTTGCTGTCGTGTGTTAAGCTCGCACGCTTGGCCATCGTTTTTCCACTTCTTTGGCCGTTTTGTTTATACTTTTAATAATGCCTTTGATTAATGATCATATACTAATTAATATGATATGCCACCAGTGCCGTTTTGATTTCGAATTCTATTTCAGTTTCTATTTCTGCTCACTCGATTTACGACTTGGCGCCTTTTTAATTCCGGCCTTATCACGCTCGCGGCGCTTATCAACCCGGCATTGGCTGAGTTCCGCTGGGGACTGAGACCAGCTAGGGCACTCGGTGTAGGAACTATTCACTCCGTTGGCCCACATAAATCACGTTCCAATTACCCTAAACTGGCCAGACGTGCTGGCATTCGCTGGCATTACTAGAGTCCAGTAGCAGTTCCAGAACAATGGCTCAATGGGATCCCGATAAATCGCGGGATGAGCCAGGCACTTGGTGACTAGTATTGTTTTCTTGGCGCGACGTGTGAACTGAACGGCGAACGGTGGCTAACTAACCGACTGACTGGTCAGCAAAAGCCCCAGAGTCTGAAGCGATTGGCGTCGCCTTCGGCAGCGGCTACCGAAATTCACGATTCGCAGCGGAGGGTATCATAGGATTTTTCATATGGTTGCAGCACACCGAAACGGAACCTGGCTAAATGCCTAAATAAACAACACTACATCAAAAATGATTTTAAAAAAATGTGTTAACAAGCACCAAAAAAAATATTCACACTGAATTTTAGAAATTCCAAGTAAATGGCGATTTTTTCTATAAATTAAAAAGCCTTGCTAATAATTTCTTAGATGTAGATGTTTCTTTCAAAAGGTGTGCAATCTATATGTTTTATACATTCATCCGTCTACAACAATTACTGTTAGTTTACATGTCTAAAAGTCTACTTGAATATATTAGAAGTTTATTACAAAACCGCAAAAACTATTAAAAACCATTTATTGCTGCAATAATCAGCAAAAAAAAATTTAATTGGTACAAAATTTACCAACATAATTAGTAAGAGTATGTAAACTTCGACTGAATGCAAAACTTGCAATTCTCTTTTTTTTTGCACGGCTTGTTTGTTTTGATTTTGTTTTATAATTCACAGCACAAAGAACACCAGCAAATTCGTTTATTTGGGGTTCATTAAAATGTATTTACACGTTCATTGATTACTAGTTTCGAACCGAAAGCTCGCATGTTTGCTCATTGAGAAGTGATGTGAAGTGCGCGGGCGACAGCTGAATGTCATCCGCGACTGAATCTGTAAACCCCATTGAACCCGGGCATCAATATTTTCCTCTGTTTTCAGGTGGTCTTCTTAATGAACGCGACTCGACAGGCGTTTATCGAAAGATATGCAAATTTTAAAGTAGTACGCCGAAGTTTGCTAATTTCGAGGACAGGTTGATACCTCTATATTTCCGAAATGTTTAGCTAAAATTATGGTATTTTTATCGTGCACTCAAATGAAAAGAAATAGTTATTTCATAAATCTTGTCTCTTTGTTTATTTTTGATCCATTGGTATTCCCAAAAATAAAAAAACGCGTTGTTGTCGAGTGGCTCGACTATCTGATACCCACTACTCTTCGAAACATACCCCTTTTTGGCAGCTAACAACCAAAACTAATGATCTCCAGGGGGTCAGGGTCACTTTCCGGAAAATTAATTTTTTGATCAATTTTGGCATGATTTTTTGCACAAAATTGTCAATAATAAATAGGGAATTAAATTACGAGCCCAACGAGGTATTACACTCTGTATTTTGAACTTATTTTGCTCCATGACGGCAAAAATACCGATTTTATTTGGACACAAAGCAGGAATCCGATTTAGAATATGCGGTATAAAAACAATTGCGGAAGGTTTTATTATTGCATATATATTCTGTAACTTTACATTAAAAACTAAATCAAATTCCTTAAACTCTTTCTGATTTGAATGCGTTCCGGAAGATTCAAGTCTGTTTGCCTCACAAAGCACAGGAATGTCCTTCTGCACAGAAAGCTTATTCGAAATCAACAGAGACAATTTTCCAACCATTTTGCCTTACTAAGCTCCAGTGAAAAGCTTTTAGCTTTCAAACTAAAACTCACCTCAGCCAGCGGCGCTAAGGATGTTTGTTTTTCCCAGGATACTCTGGCACGGCGAATCGGAACCCATGAAATGGCAGAGACTTAGCACGCATTAAACAACATCAAAATAAACAAACAATTTCGCAGACAATTGCTTCGAGGCAGTTTGAAGCAGCCGCAGCGAATTGCGGTCAAAGGACGAAGGACGAGGAGAAAAAGTTGCACAAGAGGATGGGGTGGGATTATCCTTGCGGAAAAGTGCTCGGTGCTTGGGTCGTGTGCCGCTACACAGATTCACGGAATGGATTTGCTCTGGTTTGGATGCAAAGCGCTAATCGATATGTACCATACAAGGGTCCTGCGTCCTGCGTCCTGCGTCCTGTCAGCAACTCCGAAAAGGGGATGGCCTGCGGTTGATGGCTGCGTTCGCAACTCCTTGACACTATCAATCTGTTTTCTTTATTTGCCCAGTGTGTGAGAACCAGGGAACGTAACTGTTATAAGTTTTATTTTAAAAATCACACTTTAACAGTTATTTTCTGATTTGTAAAGTAAAACTCAAAGAATAACTGTTATTTTTTGAGTTTTATAATAAAAGTTGACAAATAACAGTTATTCGTCGTGATCAAAATAAAACTCAAACTTGATTTATGGCGATTTTGTGGGTAAACAAAATTTTAAAAAAATATAGGTATAAAATATGCGCGGTTGCCTTTTTTAACAAATTTTTAGTAAGTTATAAAAAGCACGGGTATTATGTTTTTTTTAATTATTTCATTTTTTCAAAAATGTCAAGGGAATAACTGTTATTCATAAAAATCAAAAAATAACAGTTATTTTTTGAGTTTTATTATAAAAATCAAAAAATAAAAATCATTACGGATTTGTAAACTACAATGGCTAATAAAAATTGTGGTGTATTTAAAAAATTTTTAGGACCCTTCTAAGTGCGTGATTTTTTTGTATGAAAAATTTACAATAACAGTTATTTTCGTTCCCTGGTGAGAACCATTTGATTCAATTATGCCAACTGACTGATCTCAGATAATCTTTGGTAGATAGAGGTTTTGAGGTAAGCCCGATTAGAAATGCACTTTGATTTAAACGCTTGGTAAATCCGTAACTATTATTAACTACGTCAATAGTACAGATACGTACTTACCTAATTTAGTTTTAATCAACTTGATTATCAAATTAAAAATAACCAATCTGATTTCAAGGTACAAAGTTGGCTCTATGATTACGGGAGGTTTCTTTTTATTTCCGTGAAAATTTTTAAATTTAGGTAGGCATATTTTAAGAATTAGTTCTTGGAGATAGTGGAGTAAGCTATATATTTTTAAATAATTAATTTCTCTAAGGAAATAATTTAATAACTTATTCCCACAAAGCTTCCAACTTAATTGGCCTTTGGGTTAAAATTATAACCCTAACTTAAATTAGCTTAGACCCAAAGGACTTTTCAAGTAATACTCTTATATGCAAATCAAATGGGTTTAGGATATTCATTCTATTTGCTTTTGGTTTTCCCACAGTCCGTGATTTACACTTCCTTCGGTGCACTCGTTTGAAATGCGATAATTTAATTGTGGTGCGATGACAAGTCCACCTCAGTGGGTAAGGGTTAGGGCTAGGATTAGGGTACGACCAGGCTGCAGGGCGGTTTTCCTGCGGCTATTGCCAAAGTTAAATTAACAATCGTGTTTACATTGGTTGGTAACAAGATTTCACTTAAGGATGTCAGCTTTCCACATTCCTATCTGCCGCTCAATCGTTTTGGCTGCGAATTCTATGCCGGATTCGGGCACTTACCCTCCATCAAAACTGATTACTGTCATCAGACCCCGGAACTCTGGGGTGCGAGGGGAGTACGAAGTGTGCGCCGACGCGTGCGACAAGCAAATTTGTCTGGTAATGAAAAGGTTTGCGCATCCGCCCTGACATATTGCCGGTTCTTTTGTTCTGCGGATCGGACTGCTCGGGATTTTCGCGCCTCGGGTTAGGGCACGTGACCCAGTCGCCTGGCTGGGCGGGGACTTCTTCTTCTGACGTAGCTAATTTGCGAGCAAACCAAAACATCAAATAAACATAATTCAATTTCAACAATTGCCCCGTGACAAGGACTGCGGCTTCGAGTGGTTCCTGATCCGCAGTCTGATCCCGTTTCTGGTTTTCGCTCTGGTTGGGTTAAATGATCCGTGAAATGTAGCGACCAGCTATATCTGCCTTGGATCTAATTGCTCTGGTTCCCCGTGGGAATCAAAACTGCAGTCGAGTCAGAGTCAAATCAACAGGTCCTTTGAGCCCCTATATCTTACTCCGATTACTAGCAGACTTTATTGAGAACCTCGTCTCCCATATGTCTGCAAAAATTGACTTTAACATGCGGTACGATAGGGTTATTCAGGGAGGGTTAGACCACATCTCCAGAAAATTCTTTCCTGTCCTCCCACATCATCAAAGTAGTGGACTCAAACATGGCGGCTTCCTGCTGTGCAAAATATAATGGCAGAATGTCAAAAACAGGTGAAGGAAGCACAAAGCGAATGCTGGAGCTGAAACTAAAAGCGAAGGGGAGTGGCTGGAATGGGGATTCTCGGTAAGGGAGACTTTGGGATGTCCTACATGCAACAAGGAAATATTGATAATTTAAAATATTGGTTAGAATTGAATTGTATTTTGTTTCGATAAAATTGCTGTTATTTCAAACGTATTATAAAGTTGTTCTTCCAAATCAGCGAATTAGAAAAACAAATAAACCTACAAGAGTAGGTATTTTGAAAAAATATACCCATATAAATTTTATAAAAAATTAAATCTGAATCCAAGAACTCCCATTTCTAAGAAACCCGGAAAATCAATTATCATAATTAACTCCAGATCCAGATCTACGCCCAGCAATCGAAGAGCAGCCGGAGGCGAATAAGTCCAACGAATTTCCCACAGCATCCTTTCCACTTCCATTCGCAGGGGCAAACACCCTGTACTTGCCAAGCTCCGCCCATCGAGTAGAGGGCGCACGGCGACTGGCTGCCAGGATGTTTAGGGGTGGAAAGGTCCTGACCAGAGTTGTGGCATTTCCAATTGGATCTGCGGCGCTATAAAAGGCTCGCAATTCCCGGGAGATGGACTCATTAAAGTTTATAACTTATTACGAAGCGGAAGTGCGTAAAAGTGTCGGGAAAATAAAAAATAATTTAAAATTGTCATTTTAAAAGTAATTTTTAGTGAGAATAATTATAGAAAAAATGTCGCGAAATCAATTACCAGACTCGTCCTCTTCGCCTCCCATTAGGTACGGTGATTTTGAATAAATAAAAATATTCGAAAAATCACATATTTAATAATTCAGTGATTTTGATTTAAAAACGCAACATTGTTTTCTTTGTTCTTAAGTTTTAAACATTTTTATAAGCTCTAATTATGTGATCAACTTAAAATGGCTGAAAGCCCCAAATAAATATTAATGAAAAATACAGGAGTGGCACCACGCCCTAGAATATGTATTAATCCTTGTCTGTGCCGTCGGCTACTCGACTCGGTTAAATAAGTTCATACCTAAAAATTTTTTAGCACATTAAATATATATGGGATAATATAGAAATTATCTCTCTTTAATGTTGATATGCCACTAAAATATTTAAATTATTCTGTAAAATTGCCTTCAATAACATAAATATAACGCCAAAAATTTCTAAACCTAAGCAAATCCTTAAAAAATCGCGTTCTTTCTTAAAATGTAAATGATTACTAATTATTTTAGATATATTTAGTCTTGAAACTAATTGAAAATGTTCTCCTTACCCCGGCAGTCACTTACCCTTTCACAATTTTGACGACGATCTGATCAACGATCTGCCCTCCTGCATTTATGCGGGTCAGCATCAAGGTGGAGGCGCCTCTGGTGGAGGTGGCGGAGGTGGTGGGTCAGGAGGAGGCGGTGGCAACTCTGGATTGCGTCTCAGCTCCAACAATCTGCGTCACATCCAGCAGCATTATATGCAACATGGCGGAGGTAAGCAGAAAGAAATTACATTTTTTTAAAAAATGTTAACAATCAACAATCCTCTAGAGAATCTGCTGGACTCCTCAACCAACCCAATGGGGGTGCACAATCCTGGGGGCGGAGCACCCTTGATGTGCAACAGTCCCAGTGCCAGTAGCAGTGGAGGAGGCGGCAACAACGGTGGAGGATCAGGCACCCCTGGCGGCGGAGGTGGCCCCAATCCTAACTACGGAGCCGTGGGAGCCACTGCGGCCTCCAGTTACAAAATGCAGCGACAGGCGGCCAATGTGCGAGAAAGGAAACGCATCCAGAGGTCCGCCCCAACCGGGTACACCAAATGGTCTTTTCCATTTTACAACTCCTAATCCCTAAGTTATAAATTTGATCATTTTACTAACGAGCTTTCCTTTTTTTCTTGTATTTTCCTTGCGCTTTGCAGTAGCATCAATTCGGCCTTCGATGAGCTGAGGGTCCATGTGCCCACTTTTCCGTACGAGAAGCGTCTCAGCAAGATTGACACTCTGCGGCTGGCCATAGCCTATATATCCCTGCTGCGTGAGGTGCTCCAAACCGACTACGATCCTTTGACCTATGTGGAGAAGTGTCTGCGAGGGGAGATCAAAGCGGATAGGGCCAATTGGAATACAAGTGGTGAGTGGTTAAGAGAAAATCCCAAGTACAAATGGTCAGTAAAACTTTTCTTAATGCAGATCTAACAGCTCGTCTTTCCTGGATCAACTGGGAGAACCTAGGCGTCCATCCTGGTAGACGAACTCTGCTCACCTCGTTGGCCTTGTCCTCGGAACCCTTGTGCGGAGCTCACTGCGGAATGCCATAAATAATAGGAAAAGAAAAACAGGCCTAGCCTGTGAACTGCTAAAAGCACTTACCACATAATCTCTTGATCTTCCCCCAAAGATACCACTATGTCTTCCCTTCATAGTTTCGATCTCCCAATTTAGTTTAAGGCTGTACATATTTCTACAGTTACTAACAGTTAGCAATAGTATTTTATTTGAAAAGCGTCTCGGCTGCATGAAATATATAAAACCCATCAGCCATTGAAGCCCACTTCCGCTTTTGGGGAATAGTTGTTGGGCCCAATGGCTAGCGGGATAATGCATTTACAAATCAATTCCTCAAATTATATTTCAGGATAAATCTTTTGTAAATAGTATTGAGTATTGCGGCTAACAGACGTTTTACAGTTAGTCAACTATGTAACAACTTTAAAAGCATTTTTATATATATAAAAGTAAATACATGTTTCATCTAGACGTAGACATTTACATAGCTTCCTATCAAAGTACATATACTCGAAAATAAATACTTCTTTGATCAACAAGATAACTTAGAACACAAACTCTCTTCTTTTTGTTGGGTGAAACGTGGGCTAAATGCGCTGCCGATGGTTGGGGATGAATATATATATATGGTCTACATGCGGAAGATATCAACTAGAAACTTTTGGCTACTACTCCTACAGCATAGGTACGTACATATGCGGCTAAACTAATCTGTTCTTTTCTGTTCCATTTTGAATTTGTTTCGCTTTGGTAACTCGATTTGATTTCGTTGGCTAATACTCGAATTATTTTGGCCTTAGCTACAATTGGGCTACAATGGTAATACAAATGCGCGTACTATATAGAAACGATTACATAATGCACACTCACAATCATGAACATAAACACAATGATACGGTCGAACTACGCTCCTAATAATTGAATTTTTCGATTGCTTCTCCAATTTGTTTTTGGTTTTGTTGCTGTTTGTTTGATCTGTTGGTCTTTTTAGGCCGGATTCAGCACGGCCACCTTGCGCAGGCTCTCCAGCTCGCTTCGCTTCAGCCTCAGACTGAACATGGCCTCAATAAATCCGTGACAATCCGTCACAATGCTGTCCTGGATCATGTGGTCTCGAAATAAGTTGGCCAGGGCGGCTATGTCATCGCAGGCCAGAATGGCGTTCTTATGGGTGACGAACATGGCCAGGGCAGCGCGAAAAACAATCTTGTAGCCCTCGGCGAAGACGCAGTCCCAAATCCGCAGCACCGTTTCCACGGGCAGCACCTCGGCAAAGATGCAGATGAACCATTTGCTGGCGATCACCGGGTAGGGAAGGCCTACAGAGAGTTTTTATAAATAAGATTTACAAAAACTGATGAAAACTTTATCTTACCCAAATTATCCACATGCCGATTAACAGCGGGTATCCGCCGGATGACCAACTCGCGGAACACGGCCAAATCCCTCAGCAGATTGGCCATGTTGTGCGAATGGTACTGCGGTACAATGTTCTCCACAATGTGCTTGAGCAGCCAGAAGGACTTCTCCTCGTCGTCGGTGACGATCAGCAGCAGGCCGGCTATGTAATTGAGGCCCTGGCAGTAGCCGACATCCCGATTGTGGTGCGCGTAGGCGATGAGGATGTTGTACAGGCGCTGCTTCTTCGTATCGAAGTGAATATTGTCGGGAAAGGTACGAGGTAGATCGATTGATATGGAATCGCTGATTTCCTTGTCGAAGGGCTCCGAGCGCAGCAGCTGGCGAAAGAGTTCCGGAGAGCGTCGCTGGGCGGCGGCGGCGCCGGATATCTTCATCCAGACGTCGGGACGGTACGGCCCAGGTATGCCCTTTCGTATGTACCGCTTCAGCTTGGCGTCCACCTGGCTGAGATCGGTGTTCTGCTGCAGCATGGCCTCCCACTTCATGCGGCGTCGCGTCAGCGTCTTGAGGTAACCATCCATGAACTTGGAGTAGTTGCTATAGTCGAAGTGCTCGCCACGCTTGAAGCCATACTCGTCCACATCGCTAACCACGAGTGGTTAAAGGGAAATTGTTGAAAATAGTGAAAAGGGGGTATTAACCAAAAGCTCACCTGAACTTTGAACTTGCGGTAGCATCCATATGAACTATTGACTAGAGTTTCTATTGCTCACAGTAAAGAAGTTTGGTTCTGTTGGTCTTTCAGCCGCTCGACGTTCGTGGCATGACCCCAAAAAAAAGTTTTGGTATTCAGCGCACGTTGCCCGGTTACGTCGCTGCTTTTGCCTCTGCCGCCGCTGCTGCTTTTACTGCAACTGCAAGGGATTCAAGAGTCAATAAATATTGCCCTTAACTTGGGGGGCCCTTCATTTATTTATATGCCCATTTGGCCTTGGGCTTACTACTACCTACCTCTGCCTACGCCTCGTCCTTGAGCTTCAGTGGGTGGCCTTTTGTTTTTGTGCGCGCCCACTCGTAGTTGTTGCTGCCTCCGCTGCTGCCCAACTGCTCAACTGGTCGACTGATAACATTAACGGACCGACGACCAAATTGGGTGGGCGGCCAACGCACAGGTGACGGTTGCGGGGAGGGGGTGCTGCGGTTGGTGGGCGTGGGCGAATGGGGCCGCTCCGCTTGGCGCGCGCTTGCAGGTGGTCGATGGCAGGCTATCTAGCGGTAGTGATTTCATTGAAGATTGCTGGTCCCCTCGCTTATCAGTGGGCTTGAGTTGCTTTATTTTTGTTTTTATTGGCAAAAAGCCTATCGGCACACCTCTTCTTCTTCGATTCGAGGAGGCGTCTCGTTGAGGACTATCGGTATCGGTAGGTACTCGAAGGTACACACGAAGCACGAACTAGTTCAGTTTGGCGATGTTCGTGATGCGATATATTAAATAACAAGAAATAAATTAATACAATTAATAAATAAAGGGCCGCTTTCTCGTCCACTCGTTAAATTTAAAGTCAAACCCTTAATTCCCAAAAGTCTTTAAGCTTTAAAGACCAGTTTAAATTTACGAAAATAGCCTAATAAACCATTTTTTAAACGTGAAGTGAACTGGTCATATGAATAAATAATTAAGCAATTTTTCTAATAGGTTAAAAACAATAAATAGTTAAAATTGTTATTAAAATAATTAAGCAGCTATAAATAATGATTTTTCCTTTCTAAATGCCTTAAGGTTTATTTTGTTTTACATTGATTATATTTATTTTCCTAATTTTAAGTAAATAATAACGGTACATTCAACCCAATACCGATATATATCGACCACCGACCACCCACACGTGACCGCTGCGAACATCTGTTGCACGAATCACCCGCTGCGTCATACGTAATCATGCACACGTCACTCGGTCGCACCGTGCCTTGCAAATTACGCAATGTCTAACAACTGATGTAAAACACAAGCAATTTTACCCAACAGTTGGCTAAATTCCGTGTGTACACACACTCCGATCGACCACTGACCACTCCGAGATGCTGCGCACGACGGCGACGATGGGATTGATGGCGGCGGTGGCCGTGAAAGCGGTACCAAGCGAGCCCCAAAAACCAGCCGCCAGTGCTCCCGACTGCAGCCTAGTGTGCCGGCCCAGCGAGCTGCCCATCTACGGGTCGCTCCGCAAGCCAGAGTGAGTTTGGGGGCTCCATTTTTAGGTCAGGATTACCTACTTATCCATATCCCTTCTTTAGACCCAAGAAGGAGCGCCACACGCCGCAGGATTCGGTGCTGCACCGCAATTTGGAGGCCGGCGTTCGCTATGTGCGCGAGGAAGTCCAGTCGGGATACAAGGCGGTGGCCGACCAGGCCGGCATTGTGGGCCAGTACGTGGACACTGCCAAGGCCCACACCCAGCACACCATCGACCTGCTGAACGAGCCGCAGAATTCGCTGCATCGCAGCGGAGCCATCGTGGTGGGCGGTCTGGCCGGTTTCATCTTTGCCGCCCGCGGTGGCTTCATCAAGAAGGTGGTGTACACCGGCATCGGTGCGGGAGCTGTGGCCTCCCTCTGCTATCCCCGCCAGGCGGAGGAGAACTGCCGCGTGGTGCTCTACGAGGGTCGCAAGATCTTCGCCGTGGCCTACAACTTCATCAAGGGCGTGAAACCGGGCGAGGAGGTGCCCCTGGAGCCCATCCAGAAGTTCCCCACCTCGCTGGAGGACCTCAAGTATCTGGCCGGCGATCTGTACGAGGAGGCCAAGGAGCTGATCTTCCCCAAGAAGAAGTAATCCTAAACCAAACACCCCTTCGGCCGTGAAGTGTGCATCGATTTAAGTTTTACGGAGCTTGGACTTCTTTCCCGATTATGTGATCCAGCTGGAAGTAGTTATCTCTTTTCTTGTTGCCAGAAATAAATTGGCCTCGCGTCGCAAAAGTGAAAACCTATGTGTGGCCTATGTGTGTGGGATGCCAGAACCCGCTCTCACATGAATCTTCGAGTGATTAATTGTTCAGATGGCTGGCTGGCTGACCAGAGGTGTTGGTGTGTCGTCAAGTCAAATGTCACGCCGGTGAGCTGTTGAAAAGTGAAATCCGGATGTCTCCCATCTTCCAACTTCCATCTCCCCACGTGCAAATCGATTGTGCCAATCATCATTGTCGAATGGCCCGCAGCCCAAACGATGACTGTAAATTGTGCGAATGATTTTGGCCATTCGTAGTTGCCCTCGGGCGACACAATTGTTGAGATTGAGGAGGAAATCGGCTCTTATGCAGATACAGTCCATCTGTATCTATATATGTATAAGAGCCCTGCATGAATGGATTCAATGAATTATTTTACATTTTATGTTTTATGTGAATGAATTAATTAGAATTTTGAGTTTAATAGAATTGAATGAATTTGAGTTTCGAGTTTAATAGAAGTGAAATAATTCAATCGACAATTTCTTTTGAAGAAGAAAAGGCCATAATTTTGTGATTAAATCTGCATGAATTTTATTTTCTATAGTTAACATTGATTTGTTAAAAATTTTCCACTTTTTGTTCTAAATAGAAAATACAAAAAAAAAAAACTGGCAATTTCAAAAAATTTATAAAAAATTTTCATTCATTCATTCAATTCGAAATAAATTAGAAAAACATTCAATTTATTTCACATAGAAATTTAATGGCATACTATGATAAAACAATAATTGAATGATTCACGCAGGGCTCTAATCTGAGGACCGAGGGCTACGTTTTATATTTATTAGACAATATTTTCAGTAATCTTTTATTCGCTATAGATAAACTTGTTCTTTGGGCAAGATACAAACAACGTTTCAGCTGTCTGCATGCATTTGTTTACAATAAATATAGATTTAGTTAATTGTTAAATATTACTACACTAAAATACCAACAACTTGTGGACATGCAAATGACTCTCCATCCCCCCGATTCCCATTATTCCCCGTTTTAATGATCCCTTCGGCTATGTACAAAAAGATAAATCCCTTTCGAAATCGCGATCGAACTTAGGTGCTAACATTTTCGCTAGACTAACTTAGTGGGCGTTGACTGTGTGAGTGTTTAGGTGAGTGAGTGCAAATAGGGGCGTGGCAGTGGCCCACAAGGCCAAGTCAAGGTCAATGCTGTTAAAATTGTTAAATTGAAGCTAACTACGCTTAACATTCCTTTAAGATAAATCACACAAGACTTATAGATACAACTGATAAATTAAAACAAATAACAAAAGTCGAGCTGCCATCAATATCGCCGTGATCTCCCTGCTGATCATCATCTGACATGCTCCAGTATCCACGGAGTAAACTTGGAGATTCGTGTACAGACCCCGGGCAGATTGGCCTCGGCGCAGCCAATGCCCCAGGAGATAATCCCGGCCAGAAAGAAGCGGCCATCCTGCGACTTGGCCTGGAAAAGTGTGGTTTAGTATATTTTTAAAGGGTTCTAAAGAGTTCTTAAAACTCACCTGTAGGGGACCTCCTGAATCGCCCTGACAAGAGTCCTGGCCTCCTGTCTCGTAGCCCGCACATAGAAATATGTCCGGTATAAATTCCTGGCGACCCGCGCGCATGAACATCGATTTGCAATTGTCGTTACTCACAATCGGAACGGAGACCTAAGATATTGAAAATAAATGGATAAATAATTTATTGGAGAATGAAATTAAATAATGGACCATTATTTCTATTATTTTTAACATCGAAAACTAAAAATACAAAATTATTTAGAAATTTCAACAGCTATATTAAAAACGTTTATAGATTGAGGTTTTAAATTGGGTGTTCTTATGGATTGCCTTGCTAACTTAGTATACCTATTTTTGAGGTAATACTATCTTTATTCTGAAACTTATTTTAAGTGAAAAATCTTGCTATAGAAAAAATATTTTTTCTTTTAAATATTTAAGTTATACCAATTAACTGGTTCACATAAGTATTCATTTTAATTATTATATTATTAATCATTTGCTTTTATATAGTTTAAAGCTTTTCCCTCAAGTAAATCCCTTATAAAATCATTCTGACTATTCCTAATTGCTATCGCCCCATCATATTCCATAACCCACACCAACTGCGTTCTCGATTCGCTGCGGTTTTCATTGTCGCTGGACTTCGAAGCGTAGTTTAAACTACTCGTAAACCTGGGCCAACACTCACCTCCTGGAGGACGGAGGGCAGGGTGCCGCCCTCGCTGAGGCGACCCCAGCCGGTGACCGTGGCGTTCATGCCAATTAGAAGGCTCTCCGTCTCGGGCAGGCAAATGGGACTGACATGCGGCGCGAATTCGAGCGGCTGCTCCAGCTTGACCAGCGCCAGGTCGTACTCGTACGTGAGGAAGCTGTACTTGGGATGCACCACCTTCTTGGCCACCCCGCGCTCGATGTAGGGCAGCTGTTCCTGCACATGCGAGAAGTCGTACTCGCCCACGCGGATGCGTATCTGCGAGATGAGCAGGCTGCAAATGAAGGGGGAAGGGAGGGATTAGCTCGATCTGGATTTGGATTCGAATCTAGTCCGGTTTATGGGCCGATCCACTCACTCGTCCACGCAGTGTCCGGCGGTGGCTATCCAGTTCTCGTTGATCAAAGCGCCACCGCAGCGGTGGGTGCTGGAGAACCCGAAGAAGGAGGTGCGCCGCACAGACACCTGCCAGGGCCAACGACCGAAGGCCGCGCTCTTGCCGCCCACGATCCGCGTCTCGGGACGCGCCAAAGTCGGCACTCCGCACTCTGCAATGGCAACAAACAAATAGCAAATAACAAATTGCATTGTCAAGTCGGGTGCTTCGAACAGTCAGCAGTACATATCAATGCGATGTTGTCTCTTCCTTTCTGGAAGTTATATAAACGGAACTTGAAAGAATTGAATTTTTATAGGACAACGAAACACACTTATCTAATAAAACTAACTAATTTTAAAGTCACAAAATTGTTGATAACCACTTAACAATTTTCTAAAATATATATGTTGTCAATATTATATTAATTTGTATGGGTTTGTATTATTTCCCAATATAAAAAAACAGTAAACTCTAAATTTTACCTCCTTTTACTCAAAATTTTATAGATTCTAGAAAATTCATGGAATGTTAAAGTCTAAAAAAATATATGTTCAGAGGTTAAAATCGTATTAAAATTATTGAAAAATTTTCAGAATACATCAGTTGTCAATATTATATTAATTTGTAATTAATTATTTCCAAATTAAAAAAAAAAAAATCTAAATTTGATCACCTTTTACTCCAAATTTTATAGATTCTATAATATTCATGGAATGTTAAAGTCACAAAACTTAAACGTTCAAAGGTTAAAATTGTTTTAAAATTATTAAAAAATATTCTGAAGGATATTATTAAATACCTACTATTATATGGTTATGAATCTTTTTCGAACCAAAATGTTTAATACCCATACTTCCTCAGATTTGCCCATAATTAGTAGTTGATAATTTCGATCAAATATATTTAATTTATCTTATCTTTATCTTACTCACCGCTTCTCGCTGCCGATATGGTCTTCACATGGCCCAGAGCCCCGGAGTCGGGGCTGGAGGAGTCCGTTATCTCGTTGGTCTCGATGCCGGAGGTGGCCAGGACCGGCGGACGGTGCGTGGGCCGTTGGCTGCTGCTGGTGACGATTCCACTGGAGCTGCTGCTGGAGCTAATCGGCCTGGTCGTGGTGGGTGTCTTGCCCGAAGTGGTAGTGCTGGTCGAGATCGCCGTGGTGGGCCGCTGGTAGGGCCTGGTGGGCTTGCTTGTCGTGGTTTTCCTCGTTGTGCTGGCCGGTGTGGTTGTCTGTCGAGTGGTTGTTGTTGTCGTCGTTGTTGTGGCTGGGGATGTGGATGTGGATGTCGTCGAGGTGGTTGGCGATGGCGATGGCCAAGCCGAGGACGAGGATGCGGCTAATGATGTGCCCGGCGACAGCTGCAAGGCAGGCCAAAGTGGTAAACATTATGCTAAAATACTCGGACTCGGTCTCGAGCGGCAAATCATTCTCCATTCTCATTCCCATTCCCGTTTCTCATTCCCCCATTTCCATTCCCATTCCACGCAAAGAATCAATTTTTCATTTTGCCGCTAAATCTGCATTAAGTGGGAAGGTTTCTAGGGGTTTAGTTGGAAGTCGGGATGCTCTAACTAAGGGAACTGAGATAAATATTTTTTAGAATTTTTTGAAATGTTTCATTCGGTCGTATATTGATCTGAATATTTAATATCTTTAAGATTATCTATTATAATGACTGAAAATCAAATTTTGGATATTGCCAACATATTATGTTATATTATAACTCAATATTAATAATTATAAATTTCTTTCATCTACATTTATGAGTTCTGTTTGTGAGTTCCAAAAACTTGTCAACTAATCCAGTTTTTTAGTTCATTTAAATATTCTTCGAAGCCAGACTAAATTTTTTCCTGAACTTTAAATTAGCAAGTGGCTTGCTCTGTTTGAGTTACCCTTTCCTGGAAGGGTCCTAAATTCCACACACACCCCTGAGAGCGGCGGCAGGCGAATCTTACATCAACTTTTGGCTCCGGCTCCGCATTGTGCAAACAATAAAATGTCCCCCAAGGCTGTGGCCTGCCATTATGGGGCTGAGTTTAAGGTTGAGGCTAAAGCAGAGGCCCAGTCCCAGTCGAGGAGTAAATGACCTCGTGGCTCGTTTGTTTCGCTTTCGACATCAATGCATCACCCAGAACTGAGAATCCAGAACCTGAACCTGAACCCAAACCAAAACCCAGACTTGTATTTACATACCTGCGGCCTGGTGGGGCGATGCGGCTGGGGGGGATGCGTCTGGCCCGGCCAAATCAGCGACGTTGATGTCGTCGTCGAGGTGGACGATGGTGGCGACGGTGTCCGCTCGTAGACAATCGGTTTCTTTGTGGGCTTCGAAGGCTTCGAGGGTCGCGCGGGCATTGGCAAATTGACGAT